GCAGTAATAATTAAAATATGATTTCTTCTCGATATGTAATAAATATAATTAATAAAAGATAATCAATAAAGAATAAGATATAAGTTTCGCTTGTATGTAGTATAGAGTTTGTCTGTATTATGAATTCGTTCGATTAAATTATGTAATATGATTGGCTAATTATCACGGGAAATCACGGATAGATCTATAAAACTTAGCCAATCAGATGAATGTCTTCCTATGAACAGTACTGTACGCGGCGCATCACTAATTACGACATTACGGCAAATAATGCGGCACATGCCGTAACCGTATTGATTTGCCGAATTAATTCTATAGTTACGTGGTGTTTGTTTATGGCATATGCGTATGTATGTATGCTTATACGTACGTGAAGGGTTTGATGTGTTCATTAATATAAATTATCTTGTGTAACAGATGTCAAAAACGTGAATTTATAGGATGCTTGGCATACGATACTCCTTTAATATATAGTATATAAGATAGATTTAAGCTAGGTTCACCCAATTTAGAAAAAGATCATATCCGGGAGGTGTGACTTGAGAAGATCACACGACGAAAACGGTCACTCGTAGATCATGTGTTTCGGGTCTAACAATTTATGATTGGTATTTTTAAGATTTAAGATTAGGGATAGGCAACACAAACTATGGATTATATCCATGACATATATTTTAGGGTAACTCAAAATAAATATATTATCATTGACGGTTTCTCCTGTTTACACTTATTTGCGCCGGTGATACAATCCCAAATAAGGAAATTGTCATATGAAAATATAACCACCAACCCAAAATTCTACATCAGAAACCACCCTTTTATGTTTTAATAAAAAAAATTACTCACAAAATTTTAGTATACATTAGTGTTATCGCTTTTTTCGTATTTTTCTGTTTTTCTTTGCTTTGCTCACGTGTCGGCTGACCCGGGATAATCACTTTTTACATTCTCCGATTGGCTAATTTCCCTTTTTGTATTTGTACCAACAGGAGAGACCGTTGATGTTACACTACTGATCCTTCACACGGTGTGGAACATATAAAAAATTTATTTTACAATACCAGATCATCACGTTAGTACATGTTATGATTATAATCTAGCCATTTTTATGTTGCACACCGGGTGAAGGACCAGTCGTGTAACATAACGCATATACTTATTTCTGCAAGTGATACAAACCCAAAAATGGAAAATTTTCTGTGTAGATCCGAAGGTTTTTAAATTTCGCCTAAATAAATATTTACTACGTATTTAACACGTAATTTGTATCACTTGCGGAAGTAAGTAAATCCCATAAACGGCGGGTACCCTTATGTCCAGAAAATCCCGGGCTGAAGATCACTTCCGACCCTATCCGGATCCAATAAAATCACAGGATCTTGTGCAACAAAACAAACGCGAAAAATTTACTATGATAACTAACTTCCGACCTCTAAATAAAAGTTTTCAGAATGAAATTTTACTTATAGGACACAATTGTTAATGTTAGATATATAGTGAATTTTTGAGATACTACGACCCATATTCATTTGGCCGGCAGCTCGGAATTTTCTGGACATAAGGATATCCACAAACGGCCTATCCTGTAATTTGTATCCAAATTCGGATTTTGTGTCTGTTACACAACATTTACTTTGTTATAAAATTCAGCTCCTAAAATTAATTCAATATGATAACATTACCGTTACTTAGTTATATGAAGAGACAAAACGTTCAGCAATATGATAACATTACCAGATGATTGTTACTATATTATAGTTAATAACCTCCGTCACAATCATAGATATTTATTTTCATGTGCTCTTGTAGACCGTCAATGGTGCCGAATGATTATACCGATATTGTGGAGTGAACCTGGAGGTCGTTTTAAAAGTGCAAAACTTATAGATATAATACTTTTAACACTAAATGCTCAAGAGCAAACTCAATTAATTCCATTTAAAATTACCCTTCCAAGTCACCCAAAACCATTATTTGAATATACAAGCTATGTAACTTCTGTTAGTTATTTAGGTAGTGGAGTTAGAAATTGGCTTCATTATAAAGGATATAAAACAAAATTTATGCTTGAAAATGCTGTTTACTATTCTTTGATTTCAATGTTTCTTCGAACTAGTAAGAAGCTTAAATATTTAAGTCTTACAGAATCTATTTGCAATCAAATGATATTTGAAAATATTTATGAAAACACTACTATTATTTCTATGGATTTGTGTAATAACTACTATCATCTCAAATTTAAGATAATAGATATATTAGTAAAAATTCTTAATAAGAATTCTATTTTGACTTCTTTGAAGCTTTATAATAATAATCTTGGATCAGAAGGGGGAAAAGCATTATCAGATGCTCTTTGCAAAAATACCACGCTGACTTCTTTAAGTCTTGAATATAATAATCTTGGACCATTAGGAGGAAAAGCGTTAGCAGATGTACTTTGCAAAAATACAACGTTGACTTCTTTGAGTCTGTATAGTAATTTTCTTAAATTCGAAGGTGGAATATCGTTAGCAAATGCACTTTGCAAGAATACTACACTGACTTTTTTGGATCTTGAACATAATAATCTTGGACCAGAAATCGGAGAAGCATTAGCAGATACACTTTGCAAGAACGTCACGTTGAAAGAGTTGAATCTTGCTTGTAATGATCTTGCAGCAGGAGGAATATTTTTAGCAAATGCACTTTGTGAGAACGCCACACTCATTTCTTTAAATCTTTCTACTAATAATCTTGGATCAGAAATTGGAAGTGCATTAGCAGATGCAATTTGCAAGAATACTTCGTTGAAAGATTTGAATCTTGCTAGTAATAATCTTAAATCAGGAGGAATATTATTAGCAAATGCTCTTTGCAAGAATACTATGCTAACTTCTTTGAATCTTAAATATAATAGTCTTGGATGCGAAGGAGGAAAAGCATTAGCAAATACACTTTGCAAAAATACCTCACTGACTTCTTTGGGTCTTGAATCTAATGATATTGGATCAGAAGGTGGAAAAGCATTAGCAAATGCACTCTACAAAAACACCACGTTGAAATATTTGAATCTCAGAGATAATTTTCTTGGATCAGAAGGTATAATAGCATTAGCAAATGCACTTTACAAGAATAATACGCTTGTTTCATTAAATATTCGGAATAATAAATTTCAATTTGAAGCAGTAAAGGCATTAGCTGATGCTCTTTGCAATAACATTGCGTTGACTTCTTTGGATCTTTCTTTAAATAATATTAAATCAGAAGAAGCAAAAGCGTTGGCATATGCACTTTGCAAAAACACAACGCTGACTTATTTGAATCTTAAATATAATGATATTGGATCAGAAGGTGGAAAAGAATTAGCAAATGCACTTTACAAGAACACTACATTGACTTCTTTGGCTCTTTTTCACAATAAGCTTGGTGCAGAAGGAGAAAAAGCATTAACAAATGTGTTTTGCAAAAACACTTCACTAACTTCTTTGGACCTTTAATGCAATATTTAAATAATCAAAGTATAAAAATATCGTAATCAATAGAACATGAGGAGCCTGTCAACGAAGTGACAGGGCGACCATTATTGTGAGGTCAAATGACATATGATCTTCACATATCGAATTTTGGTTGGCCGATTGTAGGATCTAGGCTGTTGCCTGATAGTTCTTGCTAGATGCAGGTTTTTTTATAATTATTTTATGATCGCATATGCTTATGGTAGGCAGTATTAGTATGATAATTATGGAATGTTAAAGTAGTTAAGGAGTAAATCATATGGTTATAGGCGTGAAATCAGAAGGAAGGAGGATTGGTGACTTCCTGTCAGTAAGGGATATTTAAGGCCGTAGTTGTTGTCATAGGAGGTTATCTTTCTTTTCGCTATCGCTCGCCTCGTAGAAAGGCTGGCTCTATCGTTCTCTCCCATTTTCCGCCCCCTTTTTGGAAATGGTGATGTCATAGCATGTTTCTTGTCAACCTACAAGATATAGTAGGCATTTATAGGCTCCGCGGCTGCAATGGCAGTGCAAGGACCACCAAGAATGTATTCGGGCTCCGCGGCTGTAGTAACAGTGCAAGGACCCTGTAAATTGTACGGAGGCTCTGAAACTGCAATTGCAGTGCAAGGGCCTTTATAGTATAATCTGGCTCCACGGCTGCAAGTGCAGTGCAAGGACCACTAAGAGAAAGTTGAGCTTTAGAAGCAGCGACCCCTTTTCAAGATAAGTATATAACCGATTCTCTTTTATAGCTATACTGTCTTTTACCAGGCCTTCCTCACACAAGATTTAGCATTTGTGAGATAGGATTTACCAATTGTTTCTCCGAGCTTAGCCTAGAAGGTATTGGTTTAGACTGATGTTTTGTTAGGGCTATCAGTGCAAGTTTTTGGGATATCTTTGTGACGGATTAAGATTGTTTAGTTGGAATAGTAATGTATTATAGAAGGGTAGAATCTTGAACTAGGGCCTGTAAACATGGCGAACAGATTCCCATATGTTTTTCAATAAAGTCATTTGATCGAACAATAATAATGATAAATATGGTTGTTCCATATGATTATCGCTCCTGTGATTATTAGATAATTGATCATTATATAGAAATCTTCAATTTAAGACTCTTCTGAAATAAACTTTAGTATAGGCAGGCAATTTTAATTATTACAAAAATATAATCTATAAAAAAATTTTAAATATTTTAAGTTGGATTTTTTAAAATAGTGCACCTGCACCATGGTGCACCCCTTATATAATACAAATAAATACACCTAATTGATATTATAGATGCAGAATTTGAAGATGTATGGATATGTCAAATTGACGCATAGTTAAGTCAAAAGTGTCATAATGATGTAGGTAGCAATTGTTGATGTTTTCTGTAACTGACATAATCGACGAGTCTAAGAAATTTGCCATAATTAATATAACTAACGCAACCAGAGAAATTTGCTGTGGTAAATTTATAAAGATTTGCAGTAAATCATCGTCACTGATGTAACAAATGTAACTTGAAAATTTACTATAATGACATTAATCAACGTAATCGGCATAACTGTAATTAAGAAGCCTCGACCATTATTTCAAAGCCTAATTTATAGATGCAGAAAGATTAATGTCATTGAATTACGTCCTATTGTAAAGACGTCTTTACAACAAGACATAACCAGTGACATAAATCTTTCTGCACCTATTATTATAGTTTAATTAATTAGCTTTTACCTAAATATTATTTAAATAAGATAAATGAAATTAAAAATTAATAAAAAAAATCACACAAATGTCTTTACACAGAGAAATTAATTTACATAATTATGTTAATGCACCTCCAAAATCCAATTCATGCGTTTATGAGAATGATAGTTCTGAACTCTCTGAATCTGTTGACTGACCACAGAAAAAAGCTAAAAAGGGTGGTCCCACATTTGATGAAGTATGGGATTATTTTGTAAAAGGTGAACAAGTAAATCCTGGACACTATAAAGCTACATGCTTTTACTGTAATAAGTCTTGGCCAAGAGGTAAACCATGTACTTAAAAGCCTATCTTGCAAATCATTGTTGAGACGTACCTGAGGATATCCAAAAGTATTGGCATAATAAATTTGTAAATGATAGTCATGCATATTCAAAAAATTCACAATTAAAAGCAATTTTGCCTGTACAAGTTAGTAATGATTATGATAGAATTATTCTAAAAGCTTGGACTGTTACTAATATTCTATTTGAAGTGATTGAGAATCCATTTATTGAGATTTATTTAAGGTTCATAATTCTGTTTATGTATTATCATCATGTATAACATTGTCTGAATAGTTGCTAGATAAAGAATTTGCATTAGTGCAGAATGCTGTAGATAATGAATTAGATAATGCTAAACATCTAACATTAAGTATATGTAAATTAAAAGCCTGTAAGTATTAGTAATATTAAGTATGGGCTGCAGAGTTTTAATATTTATTAAAAATTTTTTAATTTTTTTTAATTTTTTAATTTTTTTTAATTTTTTAATTTTTTTTAATTTTTTTTTAATTATAATATAGTTCTTAATGGTTGAACTTTTAAACATAGTAAATCTATATATAATTATATTGTAACAACTATAGAAAGTAAAGAATATCTAGTTTTATTAAAAAATTATTCTTTACAATTCATACTGGCAAGTTTTTATCTTCAGAGATTTTTTATATCATTGAAAAAATTGGTTCTAAAAATTTGTAGCTGTTATTACTAATACAGCTTCAAATTGTCAACTTGTAAGAGAAAAAATACAAAAAAAATATAAACATATCTTAAACATTTGTTATATTACCTATGTAATCAATTTAATTGCTGTAGATTTAATAAAACTTATTGAAATAAAAGAATTGATTGATCATTATGAAAAATTAATAAAATTTTTTTATAAATCATTCTATAAGTTAGCATTACTATAACAAAGATTAATTAATATGAAGATTAAGTCTAAAGGCCTAGAACCATAGTGTCAAACTCATTAGAAATCATTATATAATACAACTAATTTTATACTAGTTTTACATTCTGTATTTGATTGAATATGTTACTTTTTTATATAAAATTTGTAATTCTACCACAAAATTCTGATACTCAAAATTTCGAAAACCATAAACCTAACATCACACAATAGTAATCATATTAATAATTATTGTCAGACTTAAATTTTTAATTGTCATATCACTGATATTAGTATTATGGTTTTTAAGATTTTGGATATCAAGATTTTTCAAAATTTGTATATACTAATATTAATTATATTATAATATATAAATTTTAAATAAGCATTCAAATATAGTTACAAATACTAAAATCTTTAATTTATTATATAATAAAGACTTTTTTACTATATGCCAACAAATTCAATCTATTTGGAAGCCAATAAAAGCTTATATCAATATGTTAGAAAGTAATATTGTATCTCTAAGCTAACTGTTATATTTGTATGATTAAACTGGTTGTTGCAGTTTACCAAATTTTAGAATCTAAGTTGCTTAAATCTGCTATGATTAAAATATTAAATTGATATTATATAGAGTTTTAGCATCTGTGTTATCTTTTGTGTTACTATCTTCATTTACTTTATTATGATACAATTAATTTTTTTTTTTTTTTTTTTTTATATTGTTTTTAATACTTATATATTTTTTTGTTAGAAATTGGTCTTAAGAATAAGACATTTCGTGATGCTGCTATAACTGTCTTAACTTTATAGAAAAATTTAGAGCATTTAGAGCAAGAATGTAAAGAGCTAATTTCATTATTTCATTATTATAATGCTAAAAAAAAGTAATTTAATCTATCTTATGTTTAAGGTCTTGATACTTCAATATTATAGTGGGAATTATTAAAAAGCTAACTTTGTCATCTCTCAGAACTTGTACAATGACTTTTTAGTATTTTGTCATCTCAAGCTAATTGTAAAAGAAATTTTTCTATTTTAAAATGGTTTACTGAAAACAAATGTATACATCTTGATATTACAAAACTTGAAACAATGACAAAAATTTGATCATATTACTTAACAAATATATGAAATGAACTTAATTTTTTAAAACTAAATTAACAAAATCTTTATTATATAAAATAGTTAATCTTGCTTCAATTGATAATTATATTGTAGGCAAAAAAGAAGAAAGTAAAGAATATAAAAGTAATGATAATGAAACTTTATCTTAGACTAATTTGGTTTTGAAAAAACTGTTAATTTAAGAGATCTAATCTTCCAAGAAAGAAATATTAAATTATATAAAATTTTAATTTATAGCTCTAAGCACAGCATTGAAAGCAGCAATAGTATTAATATAGATTTTAATTCAGAGAATCTTGTTAACTTGGTTTTGAATAATGAACTAGACAATTAGATAATAGTAATTTATAATGGTATTATTCTATAATCTTTAATTTAAATTTAATTAGTTTTAATCATTTTAATCATTTTAAAGTATTAGTTAAATTTACCCAACAATAAAGCAAATCATAATGTCTTAATACAAATACTTAACATTTTAAATTTTTAAATTGAAAAGTAAAGCTTGAACTCAAAAATTCTGAAAAAGTATTTAATTATTAAGATATGAATTCTGTCATTAAAACTTGCAATGCAAATAAAATACTAAAAAATTAAATAAGAAATAATCAAAAAAAAAGAATTCATAATGTATTTTTCTTGCTATTATGCATATTTACAAAAGCATTAAAAAATCAAAATTATAATGTTTTTTTTTGCTACTATACATATTTATATAAAACATTGTGAAAGAATAAATAAAAAATAATAAAATTTATAGTATATTAATGTTTGGAAACCCAGATTATTTAGTAAAAGTCTAATGTCACAATACATATTAAATGTAAAAAATAAATATTGAGGTACAAACTGTTATGGCATACATCAAACCTTGTGACATATATCAAATACTACAGCACATATTAAATATTGCAGCACATATCAAATATTATAATTATGTTAAATGTTACAACAAATATCAGTTATAACTTTTTGATTTATTATTACAACATTAAGTTACATCTAATTGATATTATGATTTGTTACAGAACTACCATATTTCTGCGCCTATAATTACTATGCACAGATTTATTAAAATATTAGATTAGTGTAAAATTTTATATTTTATTAACTTATTTATTAATATTATATTTGTTTTTCATTACAATTATATATATAAATAAAACTTCATTTATTATGAAGCTACTATAATATGTATAAGGAGAAATTTTTGATAGATTCTGAAATATTCTAAAACCTTATAAAATATTCTGAAAAAATCCTATATGCATTTTATGCATATTTTATGTACATCTTGCATATGAAATAAGAAAAAATTAGAATTTGCACATCACTAGTTAACACTAACTACAAACAAACTAATACTACTAAATACTACACTATGGAAGGCTATGATTGAGGTGTGAAAAGATTTAGTCTAAATAACTAATCAATTAGAGCTTTATAAGAAGTTAAGGAACTTATTTTCTAATTTTTATTATTAATACAGATTTCACTTATTAGGAAAGAGGAATTAAAATATTGAACTCCAAAATAAGTTATCTTTATTTATTTAGTTTCATAATGTTTAAATATATTTTTTTTTTACTAATTCTACTTTGCACTTTTTTACCAAATCTATTATATATACTATTTTTGTTAGATTTTTTTTATTAAATATCAATATTGTTATAGAAAAACAGAACAAGTTCAAGAATAAAGCAAATGTGAAACTAGAAGTTTGGATTTGTATTTGGTCACAGTAAGATATTTTAACAAGATCTTATTGTATATATTGTGAAGTATAACTATGTTGTATATCTGATATTCAAAAATAAATATAATTACATTATTAATAACATAACTAGTTTGTTTATTTGTTATTTGTTTAGTTTGTGTAATGTTTGTTAGTTCAAGCATTTTTTGTACAATTATTTTGAATATGACAGATTGTATATTAGTTGCTGTATATCAGCATCCTAAGAACTTTAAAGGTGTATTAGAAGGTTGTATTTGTATAATAGTATTTATAAAGTTGAATATAAGTATAAGTTTTGTATTAGACATTAGAATAAATTTGTTTAGATTGATTTTAATATTTGCTATCTGATAAAATGTTAAAGCTGTGTTTAGAATGTTTTGAAGTTGTTGTTAAGAGTCTGTGATTCACAGTGTATCATCTATATAAGCAAAAATAGAGATATTAGTTTGTATTTTTTGATGTTTAAGAGGAAATAGTGAAGTTAGTCTTATTAAAGCAGTAGTATATTTTTTGAATTTTGTGTGAATATGGTAAATTAATAGATTGTAATATATTCTCTATAAAAAAGAGGTAATAGCTTCTTTTTGGTTAATTCTATCTTCTACTGAATATATAGATGTTAGGCCAAAATTAGTAATAACTTAGTATATAAAAATAATAAGTTGATAATTGTAAGAATAATAGATAGAAAAAGTTTGATTTTATGTGAAACTTTTTCTAAAAGAGCAATATTAACAGAGTTGTAAGCTTTGACATGTCTTGTAATAAAAGCCAAAGAGATTTTTTGTTATATAAAGCATTTTGAATAAAGTTATTAAGTATATATATTGAAGTATTACTACTATTGCCAGACAATGCAACATAGTTGTAAGAATTGAATATTAGGTGTTTTAGTAGAATATATAAAAGTCTATTTGTTAGAATTTTTTTATAAAACTGATAGGATGTGTATTATTAAGTTTTTCATTAAAGTTTGTCTTTTTTGAGATTGGGTAAATTTTACTATTTTTTCATTGTTTAGAAATATTATTTGTATCAAGACATTTGTTATATAGGTGTATAATTACATATAGCATAGTGGTTTACAGTATTTAAGCATCTTGTAGCTTATTTCAAGAGGTCTGTATGCTTTATTATTAGACAATTATTTAATAATATATAGAATTTCTTCTGTAGTAATTAGTTATAAAAGTGAAACATACTAATTCATATTGATAAAAGCTTTGAGTTAATATTTATTAACTTAGTACAAGTTAGATGTCTCAATTTAATAGAGTTAGTATTTTGTCTATTAATAGAAGTGTTCTTGTATATGTGAAAGTATAGTTGAAGAGTCAGTTATAACTTTATTTGCTGTTTTGATATTATAAAGAATTATTGAATCAGTATGTTAATTAAAAATGCTATTAATCATTTTAGTTAGTTGAGTTAGTAGTTATTTGCATTTGTTATCAATTGCTTTATTAATATGTTGATGAAGGTGTTAAGAGTTTTTTAAACTATTAGTATAATATATAGTTTTTTATAATTGTTTTATTTTTATTTTTTTATTATTTTTTTTATTTTATTTATATAATATCAAGTAAGAAAAATAGTAATATATAGATATATCAATTAAATATAAATATATAAATAAAATATTCCTAAACTACATTATTGTTGCTATATATATAATGTCATCTAGCATGATATTAACCTTTAATTTTCTGTTTTAGTTAAATCTACTATCATAATTATTAACTACAAGAGAGGGTAAAAGGAACCCTTAAGATTATTTTAATTAGTAAAAACAGGTATATATAATAAAATTTTAAGAAAGAGTTTTAAGAATAAATTGGTCTATATTGGTATTGAATGTAAATATATTGTTATTAAAATTAGAAGACTGTATAATAGGTAATCAAACATTGTTTTTTCTTTTAGTAAGAGCAGTAATTCCTCATGCTGATTCTTATTTATGTTGTTTGGTATTACAAGTTTACTAGATAATAAGATTAAACAAGTTAAGTAGAGAGTTAGATAAAGAGATAAAAAAGTTGTTAGTTTTTTAGAATTTGTTGGAGTTGTTTATATTGGTCAAGTGTTATTGTGTCTTGAATAAGTAAAAGTATTGTAATATATATAGTAAAGTTTGGAGAAAGGTTTTGTAAATTGAGGATTTGAATTATAGTATGTGGTGAAACTTCTAAGAAGTTTATAAAGAGCTTAAGATATTTGTAGTTTCATTGATGAGAATGTTTTGTGGATTGTAAATATAAAGTGAGCATTAAAGTAAATGTTTAGTATTTTCATATTGATTACAATAGAAACAAATTAGAGTTAAGTAAAGTAAAGGATAGTGAATATTTAAATTTAATATTATTGGCAGGTTATTAAGAAGAATTTTATTTCTAATTGAAAAAAGTTTCAAATTAGAATTTTGTAAGTTAATAATTTTAGTAAATAGTAGAATGTTTATAGTAAGAAGATTTTGTAATAGTTTAAGTTAAAGAAGTTTGTTAAATGTTTAAATAGAAAAAAGGTTTTTGCAGAATTTATAAAGTTTGTATGTAATTAGTATTTCTTTCCAAATAAAGAAAGTAGTTAAATAAAAATGGTCTAGGTTATATTTTAGTTTTGTTTTTTTGTCCTTTGTTTAGCTAAAGCATCAGTAATATTATATAAAGTATTATTTAAATATAATTTAACTTTGTGCATAATATAATTTATATTTTTGAGTTTGGTTAGATAGTTTAGAATATAGATAATATTCCAGTTGTTTTGTTTGATTTGAGAATTGTAGTTATAAAATATTAAATTAGTAAGAATTTGTATAGTAGATAAGCTGTTTAAGTAAATGTAGATTAAATAGTTAGAAAGTAAAATAAGAAATAAGAGAATGAGTGCTGCTAGTTTTGCCCATGTTGAGTTTGGCGCAAAGTTTATAGAGGCATTAAATTTAATTTGTGTATTATTTTCCAGAATCCAGGCTATGCCAATAGAAATGTTATATATTTGTGAATTAAGTATAGAGGCATCTGTATAAAAATATATGTTAGTTGGTTCAAAAGATAGTAATTTTTTGTGAAAGTTTATGAGTTAGTTTTGATATATAAGGTCAGATATTATGTTTTGTATTTGGAGAATTTCTGAAAAGAGTAGTAAAAGTGATGATAAAGATTTTGAAACTGGTTTATATAGGTCTGCATGAATGTTTTGAAGTCTTTGATTTTTTGGTTATTTATGTTAAGTTCAAAGTTTTGTTTTCTTTTTTGTGTTTTGTATTTAAGATTAATGGTTTGTTTGTAATTTATTTGAAGTGTTGTTAGTGTAGAAGAAATATGGATTGTGTTAGTTGTTGAGTTCATAATTTAATATTTTTGAAACAGTACTTGAGAGTTAGATGTATTAGTTATTTTGCCAATATGCCAATCTGAAGATAAAATGTAAAGTAACCATGTATTTTTCAAAATGACAAATTGAAGTGTAATAAGATTTAATGTATTTAAAATAGGTTGGTAGGTTAAAGTTGAAGATTAGGCTATATATGCAAAATAGGATGGTCAGATATTTGGTTTGAGAATATTTTAAACCATTTTGGGGTAGGATCTCATAGAGGTTTGAGAGTTCTGAGATATATATTTTTCTAAGAAAAAAAGTTGAGATTATTAGCTATAAGTAATTGTTCTAAGAAAAGAATTTTATTATTTTTAAGGCTTAGAGTTGTTGAGTTGTTAAAAGTTGCAATGAAATTATAAATGTTGTTCAGTTGGTTAGTATGTTTGTAAGTTGTTGATTGATTTAGATAGATGTTGTTAATAGTAATATTATTTTTGTATAGATAATAGAGTTGAAATATTATAATATAGTTGGTAGATTTCCTATAGTTGGTTAGAATTGTATTCTGGATTAGAGATAGTTTTTATATTTTAAAAAGCCAATTCTTAACCTAGTATATAGAGATTTGGTTTAGAAATGTATTAGTATTGAAGTATCTTTTTATGTTACTGCTGCTAACTTGTAGTATAAGTTTATTGAGTATTGGAATGTTAAGTAGTTGTGGATTGGTGAGTATGTTATTGTTTGTATTAGTAGATAGATGTAACATATATTTAGTGCATTTTATTAGAAGACTTGATAGTTGCTGGAATTATTTTTGTGAAAGAGAACATATTTGGAGTAAATATTTAATTGATGGTGATAAGATAATATTAAACAGTCAAGATATTTGTATAAGAAGAAGTTTTTGGTATTAAATAGTATAAATAAACTGTGAAGTTTTGCTAAAAATTTTTCAAGTGTAGGTTTAGTTGAGCCTTTGCCATCTAAAAAATTCCTAGATATCTTATTATTTTATCAGGTTTGCAAGATAAAATTGGTTCTTTATAAAAATTTAGAGGTGTTATATTTGAAGTGTTATTAAATGATATTTTTTTGTTAGGTAAAATGTGAATAAGGTCTGATTTGGATACATTAACTTGAATATTGTTTAGTTGGTATAGTTTAGATATGTCATCTAGAATTTCTTATAAATCATTTTTAGATTTATAGTGTCAAACTGTATTATTCAAAAAGGAAAGAGATGATATTATTATATGAATTAGTGTAGTTAAGAAAATTGTTTTTAAAAAGAATTGTGATGATATTTTGAGAAGTTTTGAGCTATATTTTGAGTTAATATAACTAAGGATAGGATTATAATAGATTTTCCAGAGTAATAGAGAGTAGGTTTCTCCTTGTTCTATGCCTGAATAAAGTATAATTAGGTCAGTTGGTCCATAGGCTGTAATTGCTTTGGCTTTTCTATCTTGGTGTAGATATTTAATAAAGTTAAATCCAGATTGGAGAATGCCAATACATTTGCAAGCATCTAGTAGGTGTTTAATATTATTTTTATCAAAAGCTTTGAACATGTCTTGGAAGAGTATCCATGCTTCTTTGTTGTTAGTTTTGTAATGTTCTATTGTATTAATTAATATTTGTATAAAAATGTATATAAAACTGTTTTTGGTTGCTACAAAATTAAGATCATTTAGTAGGTAATATTGATTAATAATTTGATTAAGGCATGTGGTAAAAATTTTTGTAAGACATTTTTTAATAGGTTCAATGAAAGAAATTGGTCTGACTTAATCTAAAGTAAAGTTCCATATAGATTTTTTTGGTATTAGAAAAATGTTAAATGTTTTCCATATTATTGGTATTTGTTGTAATAAAAAACATTTTGTTAGAAATAGTCAAATAATATTTAGACTTTGGAGTTTAGGTATTTTAAATATTCCTAATTTATTTTTAATAGGCCTGCAGCTTTTTGGTTTAGAAACTTATATATAAGTTTGTTTCATTTCTCCAAAGTGATTTCTGAAAATAGGTTGTTAAAGAGAGGTTCATTTTCTGAATAAAATTTGTAAAGTTCATAAAATTTTGAGTTTTTCTTCTATTGGTGTATATGGTAGTTTTTTAAAGTAATCTTAAAAGTAAGATTATAAGGCTTGTTTTATTTCAGATGGTTGACTAGTGAGTGTATTGTTATATAATAGACAGTTTAAGTTGATACTATTATTTGGTTTTTCTAAAACATTTTGAAAAAAAATTTTTAAATTTTGATAAAAGTTGACATTTCTTTTTTCCAGTTTGTTTTAAATTTTTTTAAAAGTATTTTCTTGTTTTTCTTTATGGATTTGTATTTTAAGAGTTTTTATTTCTGTAGTAAGTTTAATAATATAGTAAAGTCAGGGTTATTAGTAGTTTGTATTGAGTATGAGGATGATAGTAAGGTGGTTTGTAAATATTTTTTAATATATAAGTTGTATGTTTGTAAAAAGTTAGGTTTATTAAAAGATGATTTGAGTAAGATTGCCTGTTTTAGTTGTTTATATAGTAGTGAGAGAGAGGGTGATTGTTGTTTATTATAATATGGGTTTATTTTGATTCTTTTAAATGAAATATAAATTATTTATTTTTAAATCCTAAATTTAAAATATAAAATAAAATTAGATATTATTTTTAAAATAAAATATAAATTATATTTACTATGAAAATTTGACATTAAAAAATAGTTTAAAATATATAAATTATTATCAAATTCTTTAAATCTTTGATTTAAAATATTAAAACAATATTGTTAAAATGTTGTATATTGTTATATTAGTAATCTTTTAATTATTGCACTTATTTTAGCCAAGTTTAAAAAACAATCACCAAGACTTGCATTACTATTTTATAATAATAAAATTGATTTTTTTAAAGATAATAATACAAAATTTAGTACTTTTAAATGAATAAAAAAATTATAATAATTAATAATACTATTAATCTGATTATTTGTTAATATATTATCTTCAACAATCTAAAAATAATAATAATTAATTAATAATAATAATTAATATTTTATAAATTTAAATAATTATCTTTTTAAAACTTTTTCTAAATTTAAAATACTTTCAATTGTTTTACTTACAGTTGTTCATCTTGTTTTAGAATAATTTTTAAGACCTCTATCAGTTATATTCATTTGTTCTATTAATAATCTTAATTCTGCTTTTTTAATATAAAATTAAATAAAAGTAATTGTTAAAATAAATTAAATTATATTATAATTAATATAAAATATAATTAAATATTATATATGCTTGATGTGAAGATTTAAAAAAATTATATAAAATATTATATTTTTTAATTAATTTATCTGCCTATTCAAATTTTAAAATATTTTGTGCAACTAAATTAATAACATAAGTTATACATGTTATACTAAAAATATGTGAATGTTGTAAAAAAATTATATTTCATACAAGTTTTATATTAGCTTTATTATCACTAACTATAACTGAAAAATGATCTATACCAATAAAATCTAAAACTTCATTAATTTTATTAGCTAAAAAATCTCCTATATATATTTCATCAAAATAATTACAAATCTTATATAAATATTTTTTATATTCAAGTATAATAATTATAAAATTCCAAATTGAATAATCTTTTTTATTAGTCTATTCATCTAATACTAAATTAAATTAATTAGTTATAATTTAATTTAATTTTAAAAAATATAAAATATATTTATTTAAAGTTAAATTTAAATATTATTTAAATATATTATGAGTTTTTTAATTAATAAGAGCTAACTGTTGTTCTAATAAGTGACCTGATAAAAATCTATGTATTAGTGATTTATAAGATAAATTTGTTTCTTTTAATGCTTCAATAAAAAAAGAATTTTCAATAACATTCCAAATAATTCCACAAATCATAAATGCTCTAGTCAAGACAAGATGAATTTTTTTAACTTTTGATTAATCTAATTCTATTATACTAACATATTGATCAAGGTTTCCATAAGTATTAGTTTTTCTTTTTTTATTAGATTTGTCTTTTTCAAAATTATTAGAAAAAATTTTTGAAAGAAAATATCTAATAGTTGTTGAATCTGCTTTTGAACAATAGTTTGCTAAATAATTTTTTAATTTAACTAGTTCATTACAATTCTATGATATTCTACAAAAATTACAGATTGCTTTATATCTTTCTTTTTCTACTTTTTTACCTTTAGTAAAATAATTCCAAACTGGATCTTTTAAATAACCACCAATATTTTTTTTTATTTTTTTCTATAATAGAACTAGTAGTACTAATATTTTTTTCACTAGAACTTATTTTAAAAAAATACTAAAAATAAAAATAAATTAAATTAATTATTTTGTATTTAATAATACTAATTAAATTAAATATAATAATGATATGATTATTTTATATTAATAAATTTAAATTTGAATAATTATTATTACTCACTTTCCAAATCCCATTTTTTTAAATTCTATTTTATCAAAACTGTAATACCAATAATTCATTTTACTAATAAGACAGAAATAGATTCATATAATATTATCAAATATCAATTAACTAACAAGTTTATTTTACCATTTTACTAATTGACAAAGTAATTTGACTTATTATTATTAATATTGGATTTAAAATTAAAGTAAATGCAATTATTAAAAAACCTGATGGTAAAATGAACCGTTAGTGAAATATACTTATTACTTAATTGACTTTCAATAAAATTATACAGAACTATTTCTGCTTATTAATAAAATAGATTTTCAGTATTATGTATAATGGTATTTTAGAAAAATTAATTTTATAAAGTTAAACTGGAACCCTGCATAACTCAATTTCAGAATGAATACAATTAAAACTTCTTGCATAGACTCTTACCCAATCTAGTATTTAATTTTACCTTAACAAAAATTTAATTTGAAAAACAATATTTGTATAATTTGTGCTGTCATATGCAATGTTTTATAATCAATGATCCAAATTTAATTACATTTGATTTGTCATATATAAATTAATAACTAACAATTATTTCCTTAAAGCAACTGTTGGATTTAGGGTTAGATAAAATAGCGAATTGGAAAATTATTGTCAGTAATAATACTGTCAACGTACTACTTACATATGTATAATACTGTATTTAATTAAAACCTTAATAGTTAAATGATAGATAAAAATCTAAACAATATAACAATAAATATTTAGATAGATTTATTTTACATAGGTTTATTTTACATGAAAAATATTAATATATAGATAAGCGTTACTAAAGAAGACAGGGTTCCAGGCTTTGAGATAAGCGCTACTAAAGAAGACAGGTTTTTAGGCTTTGAATTTTCAAGGCTAAATTTATTTGTTTATAAGTTCCAAAAGCCTGAAGTCTAGATTTCTTTGGTTTCTTTGAATAGTACTTGAATATAAACGAAAGGCTATCACTTTGTTTATTGCTTTTGTAAATTTTTATATAAGCCACTTGCTGTGCTTAATAGCCACACACAAATATTTTGATTCACTAACATGGCTCAGTCTTTTCCAAAGTCTTAGAGGATTTAATTTTTGACGAGTTTTGATTCTTCCTAGAGATTTCAACTTTACCAGGGGTTTCGCCAGAGTTTCGCCGTTTCGCCAGAGTTTCGACGTTTCGTCTTTCGCCGGGTTTAGTTTCGTCTTTCGCCATTTGTCAAAAATAATTTCGCCTGCCAACACTAGGGTTGTTTCACTTCAATTAGTATTAGTGTAACGTGTAACTTAAGATAAATATGAATTGGTCTTAATCATAAATAATTAAGATGAATTCCTCATTCGTTTTAGCTCGGTCATTACCTCATACTTTAAAAACTTTTCTACAATTCAGTCCTACAAGGAATTTTTCAATATCGTTGAATTCCGGACTTAAAGTTCCAAACACAAAAGTAATTCCAGTTACCTACTTTTAAGTAATGCATGAATTTAGGCTAATTATTTTTCTAAATTCAAAATTTAAGAATGCCATTTCTAAATATTTCCTATCGCGACAAAACAGGAAAATTCAAACTCTTGATTTTTGTGGGGTGAAAGAAAAAATACATGAAAGTTCAGATTGGCCAAAAGAAAAGTATCAAAAGTTTTTCAAAAACGATACTATTGCTATGATTGGTTATGGATCTCAAGGAAGTGGGCAAAGTTTGAATGTAAGGGATAATGGATTAAATGTGATTGTTGGTGTGAGGGAAGGAGGCAGAAGTTGGAATGAAGCCATGAAAGATGGTTGGGTATGTTAAAGTTCTTTTTAGAATTTCCTTTATATATATTCGTATTACGTCAATAATTTTGCTCAATTATTAAATTATATATTCAAGACACCTGGAAAGGATCTTTTTTCAATTAATGATGCTCTCGCAAGAGGAAATATTATTAACAATCTCCTTTCTGATGCAGCCCAAAAAGAGCTTTGGCCCCAATTCATCAAGCATTTGACAAAGGGAAAGACTTTATGCTTTTGTCATGGGTTTTCAATAGTTTTTAAAGAGTATACAAATGTCATCCCGCCAACAGATATCGATGTAATCATGGTAGCGCCAAAAGGGTAAGCAATGTATATATATATACATATATATATGCATTATAGATAAATTGATATTATACTTGGCTTCATATGTCACATAATTGAACACTTTAGTTCTGGAAAAACTCTTCGTTCACATTTTCTTAATGGTCGTGGGATGAATTCATCTATTGCTATATTCCAAGATGTAACAGGTAATGCTACAGACAAGGCAGTAGCACTTGGTATAGCTATCGGTTCTGCATACTTGTACGAAACCACTTTTCAAAGAGAGGTTTTTGCTGATCTTGTCGGAGAACGAGGTGTACTTTTGGGCGCGATCCAAGGTTTATTTCTTGCTCAATATGAGGTGTTGCGAGCTCATGGACATCCTCCTTCTGAAGCTTTCAATGAAACTGTTGAAGAGGCTACCCAATCTCTGTATCCCTTAATTGGTCAAAATGGCATGGACTGGTATTGAATTTTGAATTTTGTATCATAATATACTGTCAACTGAATTCTTTTTATGCGATATAAATTGAAGGATGTATGATGCCTGTTCGACGACAGCGCGACGTGGTGCACTCGATTGGTATAAACATTTTCACGATGCCATCAAACCGGTCTTTGAGAAATTGTACTCTGCTGTTGCTAATGGATCTGAAACACGCCGAGTGTTAGAAAAGAACTCTTCACCTACGTATGCAGAAGATTTAGAAGAAGAATTAAAAGAAATTAGGTATTTTGTATGTTGTCTATTCAAAAATATGTATAGTTTGAATTTGGAATAACAATGTTTTATGTGTTTTATAGAGAAAGCGAAATTTGGAAGACTGGTAGGATTGTACGAGAACTTCGTCCTGAAAGAAAAAAGTGACAAAATTGGACTTCTTAATGCCGTTAAATAATTTAGAGATAAGTCGAATACTAACTATGTTATCTAGGTGGACTTTATGCAGCTTAGATAGATTAGTATTAGTATAGTTTTGATGTAACATTCTTGTATACACAGTCTCTTCCTAATAATTATTCTCTTTGTTGTTGTTTTACAAGGGATATAGTAAATATTTGTCAATAGGTAATTTAAAATACATTGTTTATACTATATTAATTGCTTTATATTTTAGTCGAAAAATTATTTATTTGATTGATGAGTATAAAGATTTTTTTTATATTAAATAATGCCATACAGTTAAAAATTAATTTCTAGATTTAAAGATTCCTAAACTGCATTTATATTACAAAAGCATCTAATGTAATATTGCATCTTCTATTTCTTAATTAAACTATGATTAATTGTTTCAAATTAGGTTTAAGTTAAGATAGATTTGAGAAAGCTTAAAGTGAAAGTTAATGACATTAATAAAAGCATGTAATTAGAGAAAAATCTTATAAAAACTATTTACTAATATATAAGAAGGTATTTATAAGTTTAGTAGTAGTTAAAAAAGTGTTAGTAAAAGAAGCTATATGTAGTAAATATATTTATATACATTTGGATTTGAAGAAAATATTTTAAGTTTGTTCTTATTAATGTTGAAAAGTGTTATAAATATACTATAGATTTTGATAAAACCAATCAAGTATATTATTTAATAGTTGTTGCAAAAATATATCTGTTTATTTAAAATTAATGTTTTAATATTATTATAAGTTGTAGTTAAAATATTTTTATACTTATATAAAAAATAAAATATTATTAAGAATTTTAAAGTTAAGCATAAATTGTAAAAAAATATTAAATAAAATAGATAATAATATATTAGAAATTTGATAAAACAATAATATAGTTTAAATTAGATTAATTAATATTTGAAGTATATTAATATTTTTATTAGAATAAAGAAGCAAATAAGAATATCTTTATTATTAGAATGACGAGAATAAGTATTAGTAGTATTCATTCTATACTAATAGTTCTGTTATTAATCTTGATATCTCCTAATGCTCTATAAGTATAGGTTAAGTTTAAATTGAAATTCTACAACTATTAACTTATTTCAGGCCAAGTTAAACTTTGGTTATGTTCTTTTAAAGTTAAAATTCTTGTTATTTTTTAGCAATTATTACTGCTTTTACTAACTTACAATCAGTAATCTCTAAATATTATAACATTTGCCAATTAGCATTTACTCTTTCTTATACTTATACTTTATATTTTTCTATTTGCCAAACCCTTATTAATTTTATTAATTTCTATAATATTTAGCTTACTTTTTACAAAGTCATTATTCATTAAGATGATCTATTTAATAATCTTACTAACTAACTTGTTCATAATTACTAAATATTATCTTATTTAATATTCTTAACTAATAATTCTTATAATATATATTCTATTTATTAATCAATTTTTTATTAAAATACTTATTTAATGCTCTATTCAAACTATATATCAAGCTCATATTATAACATTTTAGACATCTCAATATGATTTTCAACAATCATCTATTATTGAATCTAATATTAACTAAGAAGTTATATAGTTTTATATTAATAATAATCAAAAAATCTTTAATTTTGTTTATAACTTTTATTTATCTATTCTGAAAACTTTTAAATTAAAATTCTTATAAATAAACTTTTTATTTCTAATATACTTTATAAATATAACTCTTTTTATTCTTCTACTTATTATTAATATAATCAAACCAGTTCTTTACTTTACTAGGTTATTTGCTTTTTAAATTAAATAATTTATTACTTAATTTCCAATTCTCTTAACAGTATCTTAAATATAACAGCTCTTAATATGTCTACTAATATTGTCTCTAATCTGTATAAAAAAATCTTTATACTTAACAGTTTTAAACTGCACAACTTTTATATATACTTTCTCTTATCTCTACTCTATCTAGTCTAGTTTTTATTAACTTTATTTCCACTATTCACAATATTTCTATTCCTTATTATACTGCTACTTTTTTTTTTATTAAGCTTCTTTTTTATTTAAACTAAAAATATATAAATAAATATGAATTTTATACTATATTTTATGTTTTATACAATCTTAATCTATATTTTTTATTAACTTATCTTATAGTTCTTCTAGTTTACTCTTATCTTCTATTTTAATATTACAAATTATTATTAAAATTAATTTTGAACTATTTAATATTAAATATTATATTCTCTTTCTTATATTATTACACAAATCTAAATCTAGATAAGTTTTAATCATTTTTGTAAATTTAGGTTTCAGATTATATATTTAAGTTTTTATTTTTTATATATAATTTAAAAGCAAGCTTTTTTTTATTTAAATTTTAATAAAGTTAAAAACATGTCCTTATCTTTAATATTTTTTAAAAAAATATAAGTAGTATAAAAAAAAAGATAACAAATATGTAAATTTATATGATAAAAAATTTATTTATTAAGAACCTAAAAACTCTTTCTGCAAATCCATTATACAAAAATTAACTAAAAAATCTGTTCATCAAAAAACGCTTATACTATTTATTTTACTAAGACAACCTGTCTTGGCGTCATAAGTAAACTTGTTCAGCATCGTAATTTATATATATTCTGAAAATTTTACATCTCTAGAATTTAAACTCACTGAGAAAACTGTACTAACGGCCTTTGGCCTCCAGTTTCAATAATTTTATATTTTTGCAGTTCTTGCTGCCATAATCTGCCTTATACTCTTAATTAAAGTTGTAGTGCACATTTGCCTGGTTAAAACAAGCTCTAGACGAAAAGTTTTGACTCAATATTGGCCAAACTACAGCTAAATTTATCTTGAAAAATTTTTTTCCTATTATTTGTCAATACCCTATTCTCTTTTTCTCTTACACAAATTTTGTGTAACCATTTGATCATTTCCCAATCTATAATTTATTAATTTATACAAAAATTCTGTAACCTATCTATTAATAGAATCTCATTAAACACAATTCTCTATTTCTATATTTAGTTCTTACTAATATTATACAATAATCTGTACTTTAAACTCTATTTGTATTTAGTACCCAAGTCATATTGTGATCCTAGTCACATTAGTTATACCTGTGTACTATTTTAGTGACATTCCAATACTACAACTCTTGTCTCCAATTGCCACCCTTGTAACATTATCTATAATCATACTATTAACTTGGAAAAATTTCTAAGTCTTTAATCAATCTTTATTCAAGTTATTATTATTCAATAATGTCTACCTTAAGTCAACAAAAACTTGATACAGCAGATCTTGATTATTTTTACCAAAACTTTTCTAAGAGTTTTGGTATTGCTCTTTATGAAGAAGAAAATAATGCCAAGGCCTGTCCAATTCCTTCCAAAATCCAACCTACTACTTGGTTAACAAAAAACCTCAGATCTAATAAAATTATCTACTTCTTTCAAGCTCCTACTTCTATTTCTATCATTACTTGTCTTTGTGGCAAATATCATACTAAATTCATCTCAACCTCAAACACCAATTATACTCAAGCTACTAAATTTACAACTGCTTATATTCATAGCAATTCAAAAAAGATTAACAAAACAACTCAACAACTCATGACCAACCTCTCTTCCTCTACTGACAGTGTTCTTTCATCTTCTATACCAGATGTTTACTACTATATTTGTTCTAAATACTCTCTTCCAATTGGTTGTACCATGAGAAATGAGCGTCATTATCCCACTGAAAAATATGTCTCCAAGAATAATGAAGTTTATCATCTTGCCTATATAACTGCTTCATCTCAACATGAAGCTAGTTCATCCCAAACAAAGAAAAATCTTACTCAAACCTTCTAATATATCTTATATGATTCTTCTCAAACTACCAATTCTCTTACTGCCTCTTCTCACCAAAACTTAAACTCTTCTGACCTTATTGATTCATTCTTTTCTTCAACTACCAATACTAATTCTATCTCTAACCAACCTCTTACTACTAATATTCTTAATATTTCTAATCCAAATTTTAACAATTCTAGCAATACCAACCAACCAGAAAATACTCCTAACAAACCTCCTCTCCAATCTTATTCAAGTATTCTCAAACCAAAATCTAATCCCATATATGACTGGGTTGCAAATTTTCCAATTAATAAAGAAATACAACCTAATAAGAAATTGTAAACTTCATTTTCTCTTTAACTTTTTTTACATTTCTTAAAAAATTCCTCTATAACTTCTATTCTAGCAAAGAAATCAAGTCAGGTACTGCTATCCAACCTGCACTAAAAGCCTTATTTTACTACATTATCCATATTATGGCTGGGCAATGGCCTGAATTCTTAACTGATCTTATCTACAACAACAATCCCAACATTGACAAAAGTGTTACCATTCCTTTGAACTTCTCAAATCTACTCTTAAAAACCTTATCCTAAATTTACAACTATTCTCTTTATCAAGCTTAATTACCTTAAAATTCTTACTTCACTAGTAACTATTCCTCCATACACAGCTCACAATCATCTCCAACTCTGCCTCAACTTGCTTGTCTTCATCTTTTCTTATCGAATAACTATCAGTCTATTGATTATCAAAAATTTGCTAAAGACCTTCAACTTAGACCTAAAAGACTTAAAATTGAATCTTTTATACAAACTACTGATCTTAAACAAAAATACCTTACTATCCAGTCAGATACTAGATTTAATATTAAACTCTTTTTTAATATTCCCAAAATAATCTTTCTTGAGAGATTTTGTATTTCTTCACTAAAAAATTCTCTCGATCACTTTAACTCTTGGTTTGATATCTACTACCCTCCTTATAGTAAACAATTTTTTTCTAATATTGATAAAGAAAAAGTTCGCACCTCTCTTAGAATTCAATTCCATCAACATTTTATCTTTTAACTTTCTAAATATCTTCCTAAAACTTACATATTTAAAAAATCTAATTCACTTCAAGAGCAACATGAAGAAGCAT